TATATTCATTCTTTCAATGCTTAATCTTCATCCATATACAAACTTAATAGAGAAGCAAAATAAATCAAGAATTCGCAAAATATATTATACTTAATTATATTTTTAATTAAAAAGAGTACAAATTTTAGCTTCCTTACTTCAAATGTTAGATTCCCACTACACAAAACCATTATAGCTTAATGGATGTAACCGTTTTAAATATATATATATATATATATATATATTGGAAGAATTCTATTATAATAGAAGATTCCTAGTTTTGAATGATAATGATATAACATTTATGCATATTATCACCTTTACATTTACTTTAAATAAAGCAACATTCCTAAAATTATTCATTCAAAAATACTTTTACAAAATTTTTATCACTTGACCCATAATATAAATTTAGAATGATTAATGAGATTGTTTACTTAAAGAAACCAACATTTTGTACAAAGATGGATAAAGTCACTCTTCCTAAGCAATACCAAGCACCACTCAAAGTCCCATCTCTTTATCTTACACTATCATGAATTAATATTTATGTAGACATTGCCACATCTACTACTCAATGGAAAAGTATTAGGTCTCATTTTTTGTGACATATGAGAGATTGTATTATGGTTCCCATATTTTCACATAAATTTTATCCATTTCAATTATTTTTAATAGCATTTACAAGCTTAAAGCACATAGATGAATGAAAGTTTCTAGAAATGAAATTCAAGATTTTGTGATGAATGGTCATAGGAAGTCACAAAATTACTGAAAACAAACTATTGGTAGTATATAAGTCGATATTCAATATGAATTCCGAGGAATGTGAAAATGTTCATTGATACATGATAAGGCTTTTAGTTGATGGATTCACTCTAACCAATGTGATTGATTAATATGGAACATTTACTCCAGCTATAAAGCTAAATATAGTCGTAACTTTTTCTTGTCTGTTAATAAATTTGGATTGGTATCTTCATCTATTTGACATTAAGAATTACTTTCACAAAGGAGGCTTTTAAGTTGAAGTACTTATTAGATCCATCTTTGATTCAAAGACCCATAAACAACAACAACAACAACAACAACAAAGCCTTAATCCCACTACCACTACGTGGGGTCAGCTACATGAATCCTTTTTTTTCCATTGCATCCTATTTAGTGTCATATTTTCATTTAGAATTCAAAGACCCATAAAGTATTGATAAATTTTACGAACTTCATATGTCCTAATATAGTCTTAAGAAGTTCTTGAAATCTTTATTTAAAAGGCTTACCACTACAAAAAAATATGCATGGATATTCCCAAGGTTTGTTAGATCACACTTTTTTTTAACAACAAGTCTCTAAATGTAAAACTTTTTTCTATATTATAATTGCAGATGGCATCACCTTGATGACTGATTATGAATAAGAGAGATATGTTGGTTAAAGGGTACTTTTACCAAGAATTCACACTTAAGAATTTTAGGACATTAAAAACTTTATTTGCATGGAAGTATCTTGCTTAAGAAAAGATGTTTCTTTCTCACAATGGGAGTTTTCATCTTCTACAGATAATTTGATGCATGAATTCTTTTGCAAAGGTGAATGTGTCCACATGTATGTATGAGCTCTAATTTAGTAGAATGTATGATGCACATGAGTAATAACAAAGGGTATGATGCACATGAGTAATAACAAAGGGAATGAACATTCCTCTACATGATGGGACATACCTAATCTTCAAGTATAGATCGATCTTGAATATGAAGATGCACATTAAATATTTGTTGAACCTGAACTTGACTATTTATCTTCTTATGCATGCATCTTAATTTAAAATTGAAATTTGGACTTCTCTATGATGTCTAAAATGAAGTATGGAGCATACTACATAAAGTTTATTCCATTGAACTGCATAATTGTTGCTTGGCTTGTTGCATAGATGATAATTAATGCATTGCATTACTTAAAATAGCTTGTTGCATTGATGGAAATTAATGAATTGAATGAACACCTATCACGGATATTAGTCAATATAATTACACAAACACAAATCCTTCCATAATAAAAAATATTACATTGAAACTAATCATAAAATACAAAATATATAATTTTTAATTATTAGCCCAACATATCTAAATACAAAGCAAAGAATGCCCAAAATACTATGCTTAAATAAAGTAAATTAGCTTGTAGTGATAAATATTTACAATAATGAAATATATACAAATGATACTTGTATTTACAAATGTCATTATATAACTAATAAAATGCTATAATCTTATACCAGAGCTAAATCAAATCAAATATAACTCCATTTCATTGAAATTTAGATGAAGATCTTCAACTTATCTGTAACACTAAAGTTGATCCCTTATCTATATCATTATTACCCAAAAAAAAAAAGAATCAAATAGAGTTAATCGATAAACGCTCACTAAAAACTAGAAATTGATCCCAAGCTAAAAAAGAGTATGGTAATGAAAATGCTAATTAAAAAAATTTTGAGCTCTTAAGGTATAAGAAACTGGTGTTAAGTATCTTGTCAACTTATCAACTGAGAACACATACAAATATGTACCAGGTTCTATCCTACTTAATTACAAAAAAAAAATAAAAAAAAAATAATTGCCATAGATTAACATTTAAAGAGGCTATGACTCTTCACAGTTTGAAGAAATTAAAAAGGAAATGATAAAGCAATACAATTGCAATTTATTTTGCATTTGTTGAGTTTAGGAAAAATTGAATGAGACTATCTTTTTGTTGTTTGATTGAGAAAAAAAATATGTTTTAGTTTCATAAAAAAAAAAAAAATGGTTAGATATCCTGACGAGAGATACTGATTTCTTTTAAGGTCGTGTTGTAAATATTCAAGGAGCTGGTTTCAAATTTAGATTTATTCCTCCCATTAATTTCATCTTCAATCAATTAATGAAATCGATATTACTCAACTTTATACAATTAGAGCCATTAGATTTGCTTTTCAATTTTATTCTCTTCAATCACTTAGAAGATGTATGGCAACCGATGCAATTTAAGTTATTAGAATTTAGTAAATTCCGTAAATTTAGATTTACTAAATTTTGAATGCATTAAAGCCGGAAATTTTTGTGGCAATGGATTTACTAAATTCTGCAAATTCAATGGAATTGTTTTACAATTTAGCGAGGATTTAGGAAATAGTTATGGACGGTGAAAACAATCAAAAGCCCGTGAACTTAAATCCCAAGCCCTACAAAGTTAAATACATTGATTCATAGGATTTAGGATTTACAAGATTTAAAGCCGAAATTTGCGGAATCCCGATTTATGGAATCACAGGATTTATTTTGCACAAAATGATCATCGGCAAGATTCGGCTTAAATCCCACGTAAATTTGTCGCTAGACAACCCCTTACTAATAAAAAAATGAAGAACTTAGACACAACTCACTGCATGCCAAAATTTGTTGTGAACTTCATCCTCTTCAATCCCACGCTGAAAAGAATATGGAGAACTTCAATCTCTTGTATTGCATCAGCTTTCTCATCATTTGATTTTAAATCCACAATTCTATCCATCTTTGTTTTAGTGACACTATTCCCCACCAATCATTTGACATAGAAGAGTCCTAGCTCCATTTCCAATTCCCAATATGAATCCTCCAACCCTCCAAAACTAATATTAATTAGGATATCCTAACTAAAAATCTTTACTCCTAAAATTAGTTCTTGGTTGTGAGGAGTTCCTCTCAATGTACAAGTTAGTAGAAGTGAATATAAATCCGAAGCATTCAAGTCCATAATCCTTAAAAGCTACCTTCAATTTATGTCCATTCCAATGGCCTTTTTCATGCAACCATGGCAAACAAATCCATCTCTGTGTTCCCATAAATTAAGCTCTTCATTTAAAATGATCTCATAATCAGATCATGATGCATAGCAATGTCATCCCGAACTTTAAATTTTGGTCGTTGAAATGTAAATTTTAAGTTTAAGTGGTCAAAACATTATATTTAAAGTTTTGGATGATTGATATGTAAAAACCCCATAAAAAATGTCTACTTTTTCAGATTTTGGGATGTGAATCTCAGCTCTTCGCTTTTCTCTTTAGTCCAGTAAGACATGTGGGAAGATGCATGCATGGCTGCTCTTCTCTTGCGACATGCACCAAACTTTTGCCTATAATTAAGGTACCAGTCCAGCAGAAAAGATAAAAATGGGGTCTTGCAAATTGTCCAACCTTGGACCATCAGCACTTTTGATTTCCCAGAACGTTCGCCCCGCTCTGTTGGCCTTTAAAAGGGAAAGAGAGGAGCAGAATACGAGAGAAAAGAGCTTGGAAGATGAAAGGAGTTGGTAACAAGATAAGGTGGTAGCAGTCGGTCTGTCTATATCACCACGTAGTGAGCTCCTTATCCTTTTCACTTTGTAGCTTTGCCAACGTACTTGAATGCAATTAATAACCGTTTTTTTTTTGTTTTTTTGTTTTTTGTTTTTGGATGAAAAATAAGAGCACCTGCTCAAATTTATAATGGGAATGTAGGAAAATTTTACTGACATGTTAGTTTGATAAATTTATAATTATTTCACAAATTGTTAGGTATGGCTCATGTACCAGATAAGGGACAAATGCTGGAGCGGAGCGGAGTGAAAGCATCCGTCCAATTGAGGGAGTTTCGTTAAGTGGTTTGGGGGTGCGGGGGCAACGATCTCGCTGTACGTTACAGGGTAAGTGTGTGTGTGTGTGTGTGTGTGTGTGTGTGTGTGTGTGTGTGTGTGTGTGTGTGTGTGTGTGTTGTATTTGTAACCCTAAAGTGGTGTACTCTTTTCAAGAAATCAAAAGAAGCCGCTGCTCATTGTTCCCGAGGACGTAGGCACATTGTCGAACCTCGTTAAATTCTTGTATTCTTTCTTGATTGTTCTGTTGATTCTTGTAGGTTGTATTTGTAACCCTAAGGGGATATTTTGTTTTCAAGGAACCATAAGAAGCCGCCGCTCATTGTTCCGAAGGACGTAAGCACATTGCCGAACCTCGTTAAATCCTTGTGTTTTTTCTTGATTGTTCTGTTGATTCTTGTGTTTCCTTGCTCTAATTTCTCAACAGAAATGGAATACAAGATCACCATGGAAGGTAGCTTGCCAAAGAAACAACAAGGCTTTCAATGGAGTAGAATTCTGAATCCCGAATAACAACCACAATGCATGCTGTGCAGCATTGATGAAAGCATGAGATGGAAGATCTCATCATGCTTGAAAAAACCATAACTTAAAATCATGCTATCAAGAAAATATTGTCTCCATGCCATCATAAGATATAAAGGAGATTTAGAGAATGAGGCTTGATGTCAAGTTAAGCAAAAGTTGAGCCAGGATGATTAGAAATAGCTAAAAAATGGTCTGGGTATTATAATCAATGAAGTTTTTAGTTCTTCTCAGCCTTAGTAGTCATCCAGTGCCTAATATTCTTCTATTTACGAAATTTGAAGCCAGCATGATGTTTGTTCTGATCGTAGACAAGTTCATTAGAGGACTGAGTACCATCGTGTAATTATTTATTACATTCCCACCAAATATTTTAAGATATCATATAGCTAGGAGGAGATATAAGTCCACATATATGAGAGATTGTACGTGTTGAGAAATTTAGGCCAAAGAAACGAGAATCGACACAAATTTAGAAGAAAACACAGAGATTTAACGAGTTTCAGCAAAGATGCTAACGCATCGGGAGCAGAGCGGCGACTTTCTTTCAATTTCAGAAAAAAAGTACAGGATACCTCTTAGGGTTACAACACACACACACACACACACACACACACATATAGTTCTGGTGTACAATATGTAATTACAAAATTACCACTGTACCGTATCACGGTGCCCTTGCCCTCGCACCCCCAACCCACATAACTAAACTCCCCCGATTCGTGAGCGAGTGGAGTGGAGCGGAAACATCTATCCCTTATCTGGTATATGAGTCATACCTAGCACTATGGAGACTGTTGATCTCAAGAGGTTTTATTAAGGACATGTCACATAAAATAAAAGATGTTAGGTAAAATGTACCTTGATAGGAAATTCCAAAGAAAAATTCATAGTTTTACCGGAGCTTAGGATTAATTAGAAATGAAACCACACCATGGAACAACAAGATAGCACTAATTCGAGAAAATCGGAACAAAGAACTATATAGAAAGCATAATCAAAGCAACAACAAAAGAACATATGAATTTTATGTGGAAAAACCTGAAAAAGGTAAAAACCATGAAGTCGCACCACTAGAAAATTCTATTATGAATCTCAGAGAGCTTATAGAGAACACACTCAAATTTCCTCTCCTCTCTCAAGGAAACTTAAAAGAACTCGCTCCAAACTCTTCCTACTAAGATCCAAAAATCACTCTGAGATCCTAAAAACCCTCCTCTTCGACACTCCTTTCTTTCACAAAAAATTTGTCAAGGAAATCTTGCACGGGAACATCTGATACGCCGCTCAAAATCGGGATTAAAAACAAAATCCCGTCAAAAACCGCCTCTGGCGCATATGCGCCAAATTTTTTTAAGAGAAGAGCACAGCGCCTAATTTTGGGCGCATATGCGCCAATTATGTGTCAGCCTCTCTGTATCAAGTTAGCGTCAAAGTGGGAGTGGGTGCATATGCGCCGTCATCTCTATTGCTCGCATTCAAGTGGGTGTTAATGCGCCCACAACCTGACACATACGCTTCAAGTGCTCTACCCCTATATACAGCTCTTCAAATCAGTCTCCACACATAACAATCTCTTACTCAGAGACTAATTGCACCCATCACCAGTCTTCTGTACCTGCACCTCCATCTGCATTGCCTTAATAGTCACGTATCGTGGTGTGGCTTATCCCGGGTCTTGATATTCATGAAACCCAACTGAAATCATGTACGGGTGATATAAGTGTAAAATGTAAGATTTAAGTATTACATATGTACATAACCTTAAGAATTTGTTGGTATATATGTAAATGCCCCTCACCCAAAAAAAGGCATACTTGAAAGAATAGTTCCCTGAAAGTATAAACTTTTGGAAAATAATGCTTTCACATTCCCATAACTTCAGTGGATGAGCTGGTTCTGACCCAGCAGCATGGGAAAATACATCACTTTTAGGTGAACAGCTTGCGTCAGTGTAGACCATCGGTTGCATTTGGTGTCCACATGTCATAACATGAAATTTTCTTAAAATAATTAATTACTAATTCTTTTTTTATTTAGTTTCTCCATTAATAACAAGACAATGTAATTTAATTTTGTTTGAAACTTACCAAATTGGCTACTTAGAAATAGGGGTGTAAATGACTCGTTAAAAAATATCATTGTTCGTGTTCGGCTCATTTATATTTCGAACACAAAAGTGTGTTCGTGTTAGACTTGTTTGCTTAGCGAGTCGAACACGAGTTGTTCGCGAACAACGAGTCATTTTGATAACTCTAATTACACAGCCGTAGGATGTTAAAGGTTGGGGCAAGATTTAAGTTTTATTGTTTATATTAAAACATCATTTAAATATAATTTAATATATTTTTAATTCTATTTTTTAATTAATAATCTTAATTGATTATAAGTCTTTGTAGCCTTGTAGTTAATTCAAAATTTTTAAAATATATATATATAATTGATGAGTTGTATTTTGAGCCAAAACGAGCCGAACATGAAACACGAACAAATCTTTGTTTGTGTTCAGCTCATTTATATATCAAGCACAAAAAAAGTTTTCGTGTTCGGCTTGTTAACTTAGTGAAGAATCAAGCATGAGCTTCTTAATGAGCCGAACACGTGCTGTTCACGAACAACGAGCCATTTTGATAGCCCTACGTAGAAAGAGTGAGTGTAAAATTGTTTTATGTAAATATTTATGAAACTGATGTTTTGCTTATTTAAAGATCTCGTAGTATCAAGCCAAAGCGATGGTCTTGGCCTTCTAGGCTTAGCTTTTGAGATCCCATAGCTGTTATGCTCTCTTTAATTATAGTTGATCAAGTACAACTTTATCTATAGTTAATTTGGACATGCAAATTTTTTCTAAGTATTCAGCAATTGAAACAATGATGTTGATTCATGGTGCAATGTAATCCTTAATTTTAATTGGTGGAGTCAAACAATCTTTGATCACATCACATTGCTTTTCTTTAGTTAGGTCTCATTTTATCTTAATGAGTATTCTTATTTTTTTATTTCATTAAATTACAATATTCAACAAAGATATCGACTAATTTAATCGATAAAAATTTTGGAGATATAATTGATGGCGAAGGAAAGTACGAAGAGATATACATTTTTTTCATTAAAGAAAGTGTTACATGTCTTTTTGTATGATACTAATGAGATTTTAGGCCAAAAAAGAAAAAGAAAAAGAGGGGGGGAGAAAAGATGTTCTTATTTGCAGAGACCTATCGAGTGGTTGGCCTTCCCCCGCTTCTCAAACTATCCTCCTCCTCCGAATTCTCTGCCAGCTCATCCCAGGTCACAACAGAGAACTCCTTATGGTACGAGTAAATGAGTCAAACAAGTGGCCTTCTGCTTGCAATCATTATATACTTGGGGACATTGTATAAAAAAACATAAGAACTTATTAAGTCAAATAAAAGGCCTTCTACTTGATGTTGTACATATTTTCATTTTCTTTAAGGAAATAACTTTTTTAGTGCAAATTTAAGGTCAAATTTTTAATTAGGAGGGAGAGAGAGTAAAGTGTAAAGATGCACTTATAACTATTTTGATTTTTGGAGTTGCATTGTAAACATGATGTGCTTGTCACTAATTCTTATAGTTGCCATGAGATTACATTTCATTTTGATTTTTTTAACTATATTTTCTTCATTACTTCTTTTTGGTGATGTTTGTTGTGGTTGAATAACTCTAAACTATACAAATTGATTCAATACATTATTTAGTGTTACTATGAATGAGAGAATTCATATATCTTTTTTGGTTCAACTACAATTAAAATGTCATTTTTTACCTTTGGAATCCAATAAATTGTGGTTAATTGAAATCAACAAAAGCTAATTGATTACATTTAACTATTTTTCTAGTTAATTGATAACGAATATCTGCGTTCAAGTTAATTGAATGATAAGTATTTTCTTAGATTGTGTTAAATATTAGTTGTTCATAAATTAATTATCTATAAAGAAATGCTTTGTATTTAATTAATTTAAATTTAATTAGCTACTATTATATTTCACTATTAGTCTTTAGAAAAGATGTTGTAAATATCCACTCTAGCTTGGCCTCATCATGAAAACAATTATGGCTTATATGCTAAATTTCTTTAGATTTGGTTTATCTAGTTCTCACCTCAAGGATGTAGTATCAATTTTTGTCTCAACATTGTCAACTTTTCAATTCAAATTATGGTAAATCAAAATATTACAAGTGACACAACTTAATTAATTATTCACCAACATAACAATGGCAATGCAAAATGTTTTATAAACTACTTCATTTTGGATTGAATATAATTGTTATAAATTTCTTCATCTTGGAGAGCATTAACAACATCAATTTTGTCATGAAAATACTGTTATAGTTAGTTAATTAGTTATGTTTCAAAGTTGTATGGAACACCTTCTATCTATTAGACTACATAGTACTATAAATGTTTTGTTTAATTCATTTATTCAATATTCAAAGCTATATGTTTTAATGAATAGAATGACCATTTTTATAAACTTATTCAAGAAAGAAATGTCAAATCTAAAAATTGGGGTATTTTTC